TTTTTTCAACTTTAGATATATCAAATTTAATTGCTTATAGATTAGTTGGAGTTTTTAGTTACAACGTCAGTGAACTATTGAACAATTTAGATGTTAAAAGTATAAAAAAAACAGTAAGATATAATCTAAAAATTAAATGTCAAATACATTTACAATGATATGTATCAAATTTAAATACTTCATCATTAAAGGGGTTGCAAAGATGTTTTCTTACTTTTTTATGTGTATTTGGGCCAATTATGGCTTCTATTTGCAGCATACCATTTTTCCATCAGATGTCTGTGGTTCTTGTAATTAAAGTAATGCTTATAGAAATACCAATAGATATCTGACTGAAAATTAGTATTGTGCAATTCAATGCTATCAGTGTCCTCGATAATAGGTCAGGGAGTTTTAGTGCAATACCAGAGTACTCTTAAAAATTTTTTTAAACATACAGTTCAAGCCTCTAAAAGACAATTGCTTTCTGAGAAAACAGAGTCATCTTACATCAATAAAACTACCAAATTATATCTCATAGCCAACTTAACTGGTGTGTTACATTTTATATATTTATCAAAACTACACAAATTGTGTTGCTGTACATAAAAATGGAATCTGACTTTCATATTTCTTTATTAAATTTAAATACTAAAAATAAAACAGAATGATTCAATTTGGTTGTATTCAAAGTCTTATTTAGTAATTTAATATAAATATTACAGACTAATAACCAAGCTTCTTATTTAGTAATATAATATTAATATTACTGACTAATAACCAAGCTTCTTATTTAGTAATATAATATAAATATTACTGACTAATAACCAAGCTTCTTATTTAGTAATATAATATTAATATTACAGACTAATAACCAAGCTTCTTATTTAGTAATATAATATTAATATTACTGACTAATAACCAAGCTTCTTATTTAGTAATATAATATAAATATTACAGACTAATAACCAAGCTTCTTATTTAGTAATATAATATTAATATTACAGACTAATAACCAAGCTTCTTATTTAGTAATATAATATAAATATTACAGACTAATAACCAAGCTTCTTATTTAGTAATATAATATAAATATTACAGACTAATAACCAAGCTTCTTATTTAGTAATATAATATAAATATTACTGACTAATAACCAAGCTTCTTATTTAGTAATATAATATTAATATTACAGACTAATAACCAAGCTTCTTATTTAGTAATATAATATAAATATTACTGACTAATAACCAAGCTTCTTATTTAGTAATATAATATTAATATTACAGACTAATAACCAAGCTTCTTATTTAGATTATACTTCATCATTGTATTATAGTTTCTCTTTTACATTTGTTAATATCACAAGAAGAAAATTGGTTCACTAAAACAATATTAGTGAAGACTTTCTGCTTTAAAAGACAGAATTCAATAAAACACCCTTTTATGATACATTACATTGGTGTAACCTATATTCCTGCATATATATAAGGATTCAACATCAAATTTCATCAAAATTTATGAACAGAATTTTTTTTCATGTCTTAGATGTTTCTTCAGATATTCTATAAAATATTTAAAATTGGTTTGGTTTTAGTTTCCTTATGAATCCCTCACTTTTACCCATATTTCATGAATAACCAACTCGACAACTGCTGCAAAATGTGTCACAATGTTTGATCTATAAATTAGTTGAGAAAAGCGTGTTGTATGGATACCCAGTGGTATGCTATGTTTAGAGAAGCATTCTAATGAGAATTACTTTCGTGTGGATTCATATCTCAACATCCAAATATTATTTAAGAGTCTTAGATTGTCTTTGACAATCAAAAAATCATTATTTTAGAAGAATTTATAGTCCCAAAGGAGGATCAGTTTGACAGGAAGTATTTAAGAGTGAAGTGTGTTTTTATCTTTCTAGAGCAAGTGACATGCAATTGAAAATTTTATTTTCAATATTTGTGAAATGACGGAAAGAATTAGATACTGAGCTTGGTTTGAGAGTAATATAATTTTGTATAGTACAGTAGAAAGTTTGTTTCAACTATTTTTATTCCTCGGCACTGTGAGATGATACAATTGAAAGTAGAAAATCCAAGTTGACAAGCACACTGTGATCTAATCAAGCATACTCAAACATTGGTCAAGTTTATGTAAATGGGAAGAGTTAATGAGATATGGTGATTTCTGACCACTCGCTGAATTTTGTTCTCAGAGAAAATATGTTATGTAGGCGGTTTAAAGGAAGTTTATCATACAGTCTGATGCTAATCTGTTGACTAGACATTAACTTGTTTAATATTAAATGGCCTTTGCTGACAGAGTTCGTGAATTCATTGTAGAAGAGTTAGTTACATTGGTGCTAAATGATCACATGTACTGTTGAAGACCTGTTTTAGCTAGTAGACAAAGAATGTTTGCTAGTTGTCTGTTCTGTTATCCTGAATTTTAAGTACATTATTAAAGCAAGCATATAAATTATTTGTTAACATCTGATTCACAGGTGTCTCAGGTATTTAATAAACGAGGCTGGTAGACAACTTTTCTAAGTTTTAATTAGTCCAAAACATCTCCCTAATCTTCCTTTTTTGTAGTTTAGTCATACCATCATTATTCCCTACACCATTTATGTCATGTTGCAGTTCCATCAGATTTTTTTTTTAAATGAAACTAATCTCTCAGCTGCCATCAAAGACTGCATGTGAATCCAAGGATCAAGGGTCACCTGATACTAACAAAACAAGTAGCGTTGATGCCTCAGCATCAGGGTTTGGTGGATTCGAGGTAAATAAATTTGGAGTTAAAAACAAGTCCTATTGGTTTCTGATTCACTCCAGCCAATAACTTTCACAAAAGCTATCAGAGGCCGGAATAGAGGCAGATGTTTCAGACTATGGTTTCATGGGTTTATGATATACTATAATAACAAGCTTTTTGTCAAAGTGGTTTACACATTAGTTTTTATAAGTGTATCTTATGTGCAATATAAAACTTTTCTTTAGTGTAAAATCATCAATCTGTAAAAAGTTAAGAGATAAAACAAGTATATTCATGAAAGTGCTTTCAGTGATCAAAGTTGCACCACTAGATTGAGACAATAGAACACAAGATTCCCAACTAAATAAATAATTCATAAAGAATGCATCAAATGAAAATAATATAATAAAAGATGAATGATAGTAAACACCATTGTTAATGAGTGAGTGACAGAAATTACAGCACAATCTGTTCATGTCATCTCATCTGTGAAGTTGTACTTGTTTATCAATTTATACCTGTCAAACCAATACCACATGATTTCGCTAATCAACTTCATCTTGAAATGTAACAAGCATTGTTCATTGTTGCTCTTTGTTAAGGACTATTGACACAAACTTTTTGTAAGAGTTTATCAAATCAGTATAACAATGTCATGTGAAAAAAAGTTTTTGAATAAAGGTCACGTAAATAACAATCTATATTCGGAGGAATAATGCGTAAATTGCATGCATAGCATTTTAAACAGAAAATGTATTTAAGTGGAAAAATTGCTATGATCTGGTATGCCACTTCCATAAAATTATCTATCAATCAAGAAAGGAAAATTCCATAGTTTTATATAAATTAAAAAAAAATCTTTCTGTTTGAAGTAATTGAAACATGATTGAAATGAATGAAGAATGGCATTGTTTAGTAACGAATGTGTGTGTATATTGATGCCAATTAAACATTTAACTAAATTACAACCAATCACAGGCCTTGACAGAATGTCTGTAAACATGCACTAAGCCATAATGATTACAGTCTTTCTGTCCAGGGCTCTTTTTTGTAGTATTCGAGTACAATTTGCTGCATTCTATGATTACAAGAAAGGTGGTTATTGCAGTCAAGGTATAAGACAAAGTTTGTAATAGCTTGACATAGTGAAGATGACATACTTTGTGAGTGACTGATTACTGGCATTGATATGATAAATGTTTGGAATTGACTCCTGATATTCAGCATATGATGCCTGATTAAAAATGATTCATGGTATTCCTATAATACTGATTGTCATCATTCCCCTGTATTTGTAATGATTATAGATTTGATTAGTTGTGTTGATATGATAAACAATTGGAAATGATTCCTAGTATTCAAAATAGAATTTTAGTTAATTCCTGAAGTTTGTAATAAGAAATGATTTGTTGTATTGATATGATAAACAATTGGAAATGATGCCAGGAAATGATTCCTATTATATATAAATGATTGTTGTCAGTTCCTGATATTAATAATGATTACAAATGATTTTTTCTACAGGTATGATAAACAATTGGAAATGATTCCTAGTATTCAAAATAGAATTTTAGTCAATTCCTGAAGTTTGTAATAAGAAATGATTTGTTGTATTGATATGATAAACAATTGGAAATGATGCCAGGAAATGATTCCTATTATATATAAATGATTGTTGTCAGTTCCTGATATTAGTAATGATTACAAATGATTTTTTCTACAGGTATAATAAACAATTGGAAATGATTCATAAATGATTGGCGGTATTGAAAACTAATTGGAATTGATTCCCGTTATTGGTCAGAAAAGTAGGACGTAAAACTAGATTAATCTTATTCTGAATTGACCACCCTAAGGCAATCGGTTTGTATTATCACTACTATTTAGGCAGTAGTAATATTTGATAAAACTTGTTCCATAATATTGATAAAACTACGTCAAGCTTTCTGGTTTCTTAAGATTTAAGCAGGGATTAAATAATTCAGGGATACAAGACTGCCATCATGATCAAAACAGTCTCCAGGGTACTTGTTTGACCTTTAGACTTGAAATATGACTATAATGTTGCAATGGAGGCATTCTGCTTTTTAGACAGTTATATATACATGTATAACATACCCAGTGTAATAGATATTACATTAATATTACATCACTAACCAATTCTCCCTATTCTAACAAATAGGTTAAAAAAAAACACAATGACATCTTAGTTGGCAGAATTACATAATTGTACAAACATTCCGAAGGTGTCTCAAAATGTCAACATGAGAATAAGTTCTACTTGTCCAACTTCAGTAGGGATGCAGTCTGAAAATAGGTCAGTTGTCTGAAGATGTCATAGCATGCAACTGTGAAACAAAGAGAGAAGTTGGAGTGTCAAAGTTTAGATTTTGTCATTGATCCCATGTGGTTGGAAAGTTTTCAATCTAATATTCCAATGGAGTTCAATGGAGCACCTATTGGCTGTGGACTGTGTTGGGTCTGGGTATGTTCCCAGTTGTTTAATTACTTGGTAGTCAAGATTTCGACTGGAGTGTCTCGGTAAATGGTAGAATATTTCTAATTGTACATATACATAGGAACATTGAAAATGGAATGAAAGTTTTTATTTCATTCAATTACTATCTGGCAAAAATTCTTTAACATGCACAGCAAGCAACACACAATGACTTGCCCCAATGATGTAACATTCTTTCAGACAGCCCATCTGACATTTGTCATTTAATAGGGGGAAATTGCTATCTCAAAATACTATCTCCTTTGCAGTCCTCTAGGTTTACACCATAATTATCTTTGATGTTTGATTGGAAACTTTATGTCTGTCCAAGGTTATGTAAATTATGTTCTGATTTTTTCAACTTAACTTATCAATCTCTGACAAAATAATTAATTATGTGCATTCCGGTCTTTGACAAATTACAAGAACTGTCTTTGACAAAATAAATGGAATATTCTTAGACAAGTCTTTGACAAAATAGGGGAAAAGCCTTTGACAAAATAGGGGAAAAGTCTTTGACAAAATAGGGGAAAAATCTTTGACCAAATAGGGAAAAAGTCTTTGACAAAATAAGGGAAAAATCTATGACCAAATAGGGGAAAAGTATTTGACAAAATAGGGGAAAAGTCTTTGGCAAAATAGGGGAAAAACCTTTGACAAAATAGGGAAAAAGTCTGACAAAATAGGGGAAAAGTCTTTGACAAAATAGGGGGAAAATCTTTGACAAAATAGGGAAAAAGTCTTTGACAAATAGGGAAAAGTCTTCATGAAAATAAATGATCAATCAATGAAGAAATAATAACTGCAGCCGTGTATTTACATGAATGTTTTTCAAGAAAATATGTGAAGCAAAAAAACTTGTAAGTATGTCTGCAAAATATGACAATGCAAAGAGACTGAAAAAGTGATCAAAAACACAAATTAATTTGTAGTAGCCTATAAGTTGAACGCTGTTAATATGTTATAGTAAAAATATGTATCATGATATCACATAAGATAATTTTAAGATGGTACTATTATTTTCAAGTATGTTTAAAGTATGATTGCCTAAATATATAAACAATTTCTAGCTTATTACAGACTCTTCTCATACATTAATAATAATATACCTGTAAATCTATTTCATGTTTTATGTTGTATCTGAAAGCAGTCAATTTTGTGAAATTTTCTGCTCCTTCTGTTTTCTGAGCAAGTAAAACCCAGAACATAAAGAGGGAAACCTTCACTGCATTTGCAGCAAGGATTTCTTGTTCGATTTCATTTACAACACCCTGTTCAAATTCTGATTTTTCTGATAAAATGAAGCATCCAAGTCAAAATGTAAATGAAATGAGGTAACTTTTTTTTACAACTACCTGTATTAAACAAAAACACAAGACGATATTATGGAATATAACACACTTCTTTAATATGGTTGGGCACATAACGTTTCAACACAATATACACGTGTCGTCATCAGATGTAATTGTGTTTATTGTTATATTATGTGCTCCTTGCTTCTATATGTCATTCAAATCTTAAACCTGTATTAAACCCTTTCAACCCAAGCAGATGGTTTACCGGCCACATAATTACACAAGATATACCCGAGCGGACTGTAACCTGGCCATTACCAAATGACATGACACAACGATATACGCTTTTACTCATATTACTTGGAGTTCAGGGTATATGACGATATTTACCATCAGTGTTCAAAGAGTTAAGTAAACCAGGAGGTATAATGTTTTAATGCTCTGAAAACTCTTTGATAAATGGAAATTAATTAAATCATCACACTCTAGAACAATATAGGTGAAATAATAATAATTTAGACAATCATGCTTTAATTACTAGATGAAATAGTAGAAAATTAGGTTAAGATATTAAGTTGTGATTAAAGATACACCAATCATGACTCTAGTCATTTCATAATCACATTCAATAATATTCTACATTGTTAACAGTGTTTGGAAAGTGAGAGCAGTCTATAGGTCAGGTTAGTGCAAATAAATCATCTGTCTGCCTGCTTATTTTTGTTAGTATTTTAACCCATTATTTTAAATCTGTAACTGATATTTCAATTTCAAGAGTATTTAAGAAAATCTGATTTACTAACAATAGTTATCAGACAGTGCTCTCAAGCAGACTGGGTAATCAAATGAAAGCTCGTGTCTTGAATGATAAAGAACAAAAAATCCCACATTAAAGGGATTGTAAAGAGGTTTTCTAGCCTTTTAATGTGTATTGGGGACAACTTTGACTTCTATCAGGGGCATTCCAATTCTTTGTCTGATGCCAATGATCCTTTCAGACCAAATGTTCTTACTGTTTTGGCATTTTCTGCACCACATATAATGAACCAACTATGGTAAATGAAAATCAAGCATTAAAAGATATTTAGTTGACACTAGGAGTAGGAAATCAAGGTTTAAAGCTAAGTTGTGATGAACAAACAAACCCACGAGAGCTGTGACACCTTCAGCTGAGTGATAATTTGATTTATCACCATTTTTAATTCCTTTACTTTTAGTCTAGTTAGAGTTAGACGGCATGACCTGAGAGACCTTAGTTAATTTAAACACCATACATTAATAACCAAATTAATATAGAAGTTATTCTAGTTTGATACTATGTATTTTTCAGCTAATGATCAAATGAAGAACAATTTCTGTTGTCCAGAGATTTATGTAGGAAGAGAATGAAGAGAATGTAGAGATTGTAGAGAATGAAGAGAATGTAGAGAATGAAGAGAATGTAGAGAATGAAGAGAATGTAGAGATTGTAGAGAACGTAGAGAATGTAGAGAATGAAGAGAATGTAGAGAATGAAGAGAATGTAGTTAATGTAGAGAATGAAGAGAATGTAGAGATTGTAGAGAATGAAGAGAACGTAGAGAATGTAGAGAATGTAGAGAACGTAGAGAATGTAGAGAATGAAGAGAACGAAGAGAATGTAGAGAATGAAGAGAACGAAGAGAATGTAGAGAATGAAGAGAACGTAGAGAATGTAGAGAACGAAGAGAATGTAGAGAATGAAGAGAACGTAGAGAATGAAGAGAACGAAGAGAATGTAGAGAATGAAGAGAACGTAGAGAATGTAGAGAATGAAGAGAACGAAGAGAATGTAGAGAATGAAGAGAACGAGGAGAATGTACAGAATGAAGAGAACGTAGAGAATGAAGAGAACGAAGAGAATGTAGAGAATGAAGAGAACGAAGAGAATGTAGAGAACGAAGAGAACGAAGAGAATGTAGAGAATGAAGAGAACGAAGAGAATGTAGAGAACGTAGAGAATGAAAAGAACAAAGAGAATGTAGAGAATGAAGAGAACGAAGAGAATGAAGAGAACGAAGAGAACGTAGAGAATGAAGAGAACGTAGAGAATGTAGATTATGAAGAGAACGAAGAGAATGTAGGTTAACAATGAATTACAAAAGCCTTTCAATATTTGATGGTAATGGAATTTATCAGAATCGGAAGTCTGAATACTGTTTGTAGGATATTAAAGTACAAGGAATCTAAATGAACTCTCTGACATAGTCGATAATGATATCTTCCTACATGATAATGCATGTCACCATTAATATCCAAAGAACTTTATTGGTTGTGTTAAAGTAAAAGTTCAGCAGTGCTTGGGTACATGCTAAAAACCCTTTCACATTACACATGATCAATTCTCAGATTGGAACAGATGAATTTTGTGTAAACAGACAAAGCATTCTGAAAACCATTCTGATTTTCTAGCTCACCTTAAAGAGGTGTTCTCATAAAGGCTTTCAGAACAAACTGGTTAAATCTGTGATAGGGGTGGTTGAAAAGAAACCAGTTTCTACTGACAAGCAAATAGTCACTATTCAACAGAAGGTGTAATGGAAACAATAACTAATCTGAGAACTTTTTATTGTACATGCCTTATAAGCAACTTTCAAATTTATCTGACGAATTTCATTATTTAGTGCCATTGATGTTCACATCTGAGTTACTACAAGAACTAACTTTGAGAACAGTTTTGGTTTATGAAGCACTCTAATTTATCACAATGTAACAGAGGCTTTAGTAACCACGTATAGTGATACAGGATGCAGGCATACATGTGTACAGGTCAGGAAGAAAAATCTGGAGATTTGTCTTGAAAAATCTGGAGATTGGGTGAAAAGTCGGAAGATTTTTCTGAAGCGCGTAACTTCGTGATTTGAAACTTCAATTTGATTGTTTTTTTCTTTTTTTTTTCAAATAAGCTTTAAGCCTTGTAAATTAATTAAATTGATCATAGGCCTACATGACACAGTTAAAATTAACAATCTATAATTATGGTTAATTCTAGAAATAGTGCCTGATATTTCAAATTTAAAATTTCAAAAAAAATTTGATTTTATCATTCTTCAGTATTGATTAAATCAAAAATAATGTCAAGGTGAAATGATGTTTGAAAACAAGAAAGCAAGCATGATCCCAGCCCTCTAAATTAAATAGTACCGGTGGCTATAGGCCTACATCATACATGTCATACCATATTAAAAATCAGTATGTTCTGAAAGCAATATTTAGTAAATAATATGTACTGACAATGTTACTTTTTCCAAAGGTGTAATTCATGACATCTTAAATATCTCCAGTGCGATCATTAAATACCTTTCCTGCAACACTCTCACGAAGTATTGAACTGAATTTTCCGCTTCCATTTTGACGTTCTTCAGAATGGAAAGACTTGTAATAAGTAAGCCCGTTATGCAGGCAATAAAATGAATGTTTACAGGCTACAGTAAAATTACAAAACGATTTTATGAAACGAAGTTTGAGTTTATATAAGAATTAGACATCCAGTCGCGTATGATAATCTACCGATAATGAAAAATAATTCTGAAACGACGTCCATGTTATATAGGCCTATTATAGACCTCGCAGATTGACACTGACGATTTTTTAGTAAAAGTAGGGCTACCGTAAAATTTATTATAAAAGCGAAAGTAGAATCTACCAGATGTTGTTATAAAAAGTGTGTCGTGGGCTTAATCAAATTACCATCTTAATTGGGGGATTAATTAATCAGGCAATGATAATATTATTACATGATGAGATTAACGCGTGTTACCGGCAATCAAGATATAAGTAATGATAGATATTTTGTTGTTTTATGGTAGAGAATTTGGACATTGAAAACAGTAGGTCCCGTGAAAATTTGATCAGGAAAAAAAACAAAAATCGGTAGATTTGGGTATCCCGTCGGTAGAGCGGTAGACAACATGCAAAAACGGTAGAAACCCGACATCATCGGTAGATTACACATGTATGGATGCAGGGGTTTAAAAATTGTAAGCCATATAAACTACAATTGCCATTGGAATCTTAATTTTAAAAATGAGCTGTCTATTGTAAACAGGATCTTTTGATAAGACAATTGCTCCTAAACCTTTCAACCTTGTATAAAACCATGTAATGGAATGGTCAATTTAGATGGTGATTTTAATCTGATGATAATAATTAAATCTCTATTGTATGTTAAAATATATGGGGCAAATGCTTTTACATTTGTGTTTGTTTTATCTAGCAATTTATCAGTTCAATACATTTTGCTTTTATTTTAGAAAGATCTTAGATTGGCTTAAATCTCTATTATTTTCTTTTCTTTAAAAGCTACTGTAGTAAAGATAACTAAACCATTTTTATGAAATTATAAGTCTAATGTGCCTTCCACTGGTTGAAAGGGGTCATTTTCTAACTTTAAGACTGATTTTAGTCCTGCTTTTGCTGAGGGGGAATCAATTAGTATCATGTTAAACTTAGCTCAACATGCTTGTGTGACAACCTGTATCAGATCTCAGATTGCAAGACAAAATGTTGCGATCCAACAATTTTTTTCATGAAATTTTTTTGCCAAATCTAGAAACATGAGGCAACTCTGTTTAACTATATGGAATTAACGGTCATTGGTAAGATCAATCTTAAGTCTAAACTGGAACATGATGAATTGCTATCGAATTTCGAATAAAATATGACTTAATTAGAGCAAAAGTGAAATTTGTCGTGACGATTGCTTATCAAATTTTTTAATCTAAAGTTATGACGCAGGTAATGTACATCACAACTAGTGCTTGTTAAACCAATTATACCACAATATCACATTGCATGTCCTGATACAAAGACTATGCTAAAAAATATATCATGATACAAAGACTATGCTAAAAAATATATCACGATACAAAGACTATGCTAAAAAATATATCACGATACAAAGACTATGTTTAAAAATATATCATGATACAAAGACTATGCTAAAAAATATATCCTGATACAAAGACTATGCTAAAAAATATATCACGATACAAAGACTATGCTAAAAAATATATCACGATACAAAGACTATGTTTAAAAGTATATCACGATACAAAGACTATGTTTAAAAGTATATCACGATACAAAGACTATGCTAAAAAATATATCACGATACAAAGACTATGTTCAAAAATATATCATGATACAAAGACTATGCTAAAAAATATATCACGATACAAAGACTATGTTTAAAAGTATATCACGATACAAAGACTATGTTAAAAAATATATCATGATACTAAAACTATGTTAAAAAATATATCATGATACAAAGACTATGCTAAAAAATATATCATGATACAAAGACTATGTTAAAAAATATATCATGATACAAAGACTATGCTAAAAAAGATATCACAATGCAAAAACTATGATAAAAAATATATCACGATACAAAGACTATGTTAAAAAATATATTACAATACAAAGATTATGTTAAAAAATATATCATGATACAAAGACTATGTTAAAAAATATATCATGATACAAAAACTATGTTCAAAAATATATCATGATACAAAGACTATGATAAAATAGATATCACTATACAAGCCCTAAAATACAAAACATATCACGATATGGGGTAATATACAATCAGTAACACCTTATTGTTCACAAATAGAAATTCTGATTTCAATTTTTAATGCAGTTGAAAGACAGCTAGTTAGTTATATACAGTTCTGTCTGGTATACCTGACATATATATAACAATAGGATACTAGTTTTCAGTTCATATGTCAGTGCTAATGGTTTTCAGGAACTGGGTTAATAAAATAGGTTCTCAAACACAGCAAACTCCTTATTACATGTTCCTTCCTGATTGTCAAGCACTACCAGTCACAAACTAATATGTAACAAATGAAATGAAACGAAATAGAGCTTTTGTTCTACTTTTCTGCATCTGTTTGGGCTACTGAGAACGGAACACAAAGCAGTGTGCAAAGAAAATATTGTCAGGACAGTGGCATTAGCCTACTTTTTTCTTGATTTCCAAGAGATCCTGGTATACAGGGCCTCAAGTTTATTATTCCATCTGAACAACTAAATCCTCTGACCTTTACTTACGTCACAGTCATCTGTTTTAAACAATAATGATTGAAATTGTGAACATAAAAGAGGATAGGATTTCAGGTTCACAAGTTAAAATGAATCACCTTGATTCTAACTATTTGTTAAAAACAACATGATTGTTCTCTACGCCATTTATCATGAAAAGAAATATCCCTTAATGACCCACTTCATCACTATGGTCAAATTTCTTCAGTAGAACAATTCATACTAATCATTTTTTACAATGCTTTTTGCTGGCCATGACTGATTGAAACATGTTTTATAAGTCATTTCAGGGAAAAATATAACTTTTTACTGTAAATGATACTTCATTAAAGCATTCTGTCATGTTTGTATGTATATATCATCTATCTGATCACTGTAAAAAAAACTAACTGTAGTTTCAGATATAATTTTTATATTATTGAAGACTTATTCTAGCAGAGATTTCTTTAAAACACATTTAGATAAATCATTAGTCTTACAATTCTCAAATGTCATTAAACTACATTAATGATATTATGAATCAAGCAAGCTACGTCTTTTCCAAACACCTGATGGTACACAACTTTTACTCTCAATTTTGCAATTCTTTGAGATTTTTGATTGACTGAATTGTCTTGCTTGTACAGATTTTTATGTTAACAATATACCATATGCTGTATACCTAAAATATTAAGGTGAGTATATATTTAATTGTAGATGACCCAGATGTCAGATATATGCTAAAAAGTGATTTGGATAGATGATAACTTTAACTGTTATTTAGCTCCATATTTATTAGTTTTATAACTTTTTAAAAGATGTTATGTAAACTAGAAACAATAATCTGAAGAGGAAGAAAGTTAACCTTCAAGTTGAAAATAACTGAATGTTTGTAAGGAGTCAATAACATTTAATAAGATAATACAATGTAATTATTAGTCTAATTAAAGGCCAAGACTGGTTTGATTACCAAATAAATACAAGAAATGGATAGGTTGAGGTCTTGTTAGTTTAATTCTACTAATAGCTTTCCTCCCGGGTATAATTGTGCGTTTTCTTTCATAATTGGCCGATGCTGCCTTGAGCCGAGTCAATCAACCGGTGTTTATCAATGAAGAATTATGAAGATCAGTGACATTCAGACGTCACTAAAAGATCAACCTTGTCAACATGATATTCTGTACTCATCGATCTTTCACTCTTTATTTCTTGTCTCTCTTGCCACCCCCGTTTTTTGCTGTATAATACTGATATTTTATCAAATTAATAGTCAACTTAAGGAACTTGTACTAATTAATCCTTCAATCAATATCTTAGTATATCCAGAACACCTGCACTAAAAAATACTTAATTATTTTGATCTCAAACACTGTGTTTCTGGTGAGGGAAAAGTCAGCTTTATGCTAGGTTTAAGCTAGTTTTCATGTGGTTCGACAGGACAAATTGTTGAGCCCTTATGGTTTGGGAACTGGAAACCTCACTTGTTGTGCTCTGCCAAATGAAAGCTAACTTAAAGCCAGTTTTCTCTTAACTTAGTGGAAACGCAAAAGCCATACTGGATCATACTTTGAATCTTTCAGAAATCCTCACTTGATGTAAGTAACAGAGAATCTGATTGGTTGAATATTTGATCAATTAGAGCATGTTGTACTTGAGGCAGATCATGGATGGTTAACATAGTCTCCAACAGAAAAAACATAAAATAAAACATTGAAAATTTGTTGTTTATCACATCATTAGCTTGTAGAACTATTTTCATATTTCTTATGACCTTTATCCTTTATCAATTTTAATTAATTTGATGAATATAATTAAAACATAATGGGAAATTGGTCAGAACTAAACTTATACAATCAATCATCAACTTATTACAACAGAACCTAAAAAAACACATGTTGTTTCAGGCTACAGATCTTCAGACAACTGACCTATTTTCAGCCTGGATCCCTTTTATTGTATTGTAGTATCGTACATGAATTTAAATATGATGAATGTAATATTTGAAGTATTTATGAATGGTTAAGAATGGACACTTTTTTTTTGATACATGACCGTAATATAAAAGTTTATTATATGTTGATATAGATTCTTGATATTGCAGAGAAAATCTATTTAGATTGTTCTACTTGATATTTTCAATGAAAGCACAAGACTTGAATTTTAAATAACACTTGAAAGATAAAGAAATATTTGATTTAGTTTGATAAAATGTTTGAAGGAGAAAGAGCAACATTTACCACAAATATCACAACTTTTTAATTCTTCTGTTTATCATTCCTCAATAAAAGTATTAATGAAAAGATTTAGGAAATTTTGATCAATGCATAATTATAAAGTTTCCTTATTATAATGTATATCTTCAATTATTTACATTTCTACTATCACACCCTTATGAACCAGTTATGCAAACTGGAATTCATTTTTTGATAAACTGTAGTTTGTCATGTGACACTATGATGTCATCAAAGCACAACACGGACACAATCTAAGATTTGTGGCAAATTCATGTAACCGATCATAAAAAACAGTGAAAATTGTATTAATAAAAGTATCTGAATATAAACAGTAGAATTAAAAGTTGGTCTCACTAACATTATTGGTGTGTAAACGTGATTCATCATGCCACATAAATGACTTTGTCAATCTTAGATATATGTGTGAATAACAAATTAAAAAATCGTTTGATTTGAACAAACCTCTTTATGTATGGTTATATTTTGTCAAGTAATAGTGGCAACAAAGATGGGTTTCTTAATCTCAGGAACTCATTGATCAAGGATTCAAGATTAGCCAACTAATATGGTAAAAGAAACAGAACATCATATAACTTGAGTTCATTCCCTGTTATGATGCTGTGGTTTAACAATCAAATTATTTGTATCATCCTATCTCTTTTCTGTAAATCTACTTGTTTTTCCAAACGGTGGAAATGGATTAAAGTGTTGTTTATTTGAAACCATGTGATGTATGATCATTTAAGATTGGATTTCTTTTCATTCACAAACTGTCAACTAGACAAATACAAGTGCTTAAACCTTTATGTACTCATTCCTTGTATCAAAATGACACAATCATGATGTAGCATGACAGAAATACACACTATCATGTATCATGATACAAGACTAATCTGAAGTATAAGATACATTACGTTACAAATGGCCAACTAGTTTGATGACTTTAATTATGAACAGAAAACATTAGGCTACAAAAGGCAGACAGGTTTTATGACTAATTATGAACAGGAAACATTAGGCTACAAAAGGCAGACTGGTTTTATGACTAATTATGAACAGGAAACATTAGGCTACAAAAGGCAGACTGGTTTTATGACTAATTATGAACAGGAAACATTAGGCTATAAAAGGCAGACAGATTTTATGACTTTAATTATGAATAGGATAAATTAGGCCATAAAAGGCAGACTGGTTTTATGACTCTAATTATGAATAGGATAAATTAGGCTACAAAGGGCAGACTGGTTTTATGACTTTAATTATGAACAGGAAACATTAGGCTATAAAAGGCAGACAGATTTTAAGACTTTAATTATGAATAGGATAAATTAGGCCATAAAAGGCAGACTGGTTTTATGACTTTAATTATGAACAGGAAACATTAGGCTACAAAAGGCAGGCTGGTTTTATGACTTTAATTATGAACAGGAAACATTAGGCTATAAAAGGCAGACTGGTTTTATGACTCTAATTATGAACAGGAAACATTAGGCTACAAAAGGCAGACTGCTTTAATGACTAATTATGAACTGGAAACATTAGGCTACAAAAGGCAGACTGGTTTTATGACTCTAATTATGAACAGGAAACATTAGGCTACAAAAGGCAGACTGCTTTTATGACTAATTATGAACAGGAAACATTAGGCTATAAAAGGCAGACTGGTTTTATGACTCTAATTATGAACAGGAAACATTAGGCTACAAAAGGCAGGCTGGTTTTATGACTAATTATGAACAGGAAACATTAGGCTACAAAAGGCAGACTGCTTTTATGACTAATTATGAACAGGAAACATTAGGCTACAAAAGGCAGACTGCTTTTATGACTAATTATGAACAGGAAACATTAGGCTACAAAAGGCAGGCTGGTTTTATGACTTTAGTTATGAACAGGAAACATTAGGCTACAAAAGGCAGACTG